ATGCCCCTGGGTTTAACTGTTTCTTAGAGTCTGTCCTACTTTTTTAAATTTTTTTTTCTTTATTGCTTTTTCGAGAGAGAGAGAAGGGAGAGGGAGAGAAAGAAACATTGATGAGAGAGAACATCGATTGGCTGCCTCCTGCACGTCCCCCACTGGGGATCGGGCTCACAACTTGGGCATCTACCCTGACCAGGAATCAAACCAGGACCTCTTGGTGCGTGGGTCAATGTTCAACCATTGAGCCACACTGGCTGGGCAGTCCTACTTTTCTATGAAGGCCTCCATATGCATTTCTTTCTGTTTTTTTTTTTTTTCTAAGAGAAATGTGTTTAATGCTAAAGCTTAGCACACTCCAGCACCAGGCATGCCTGGAGTCGAAGCAGCAGGAATGGGTAGGTGACCCCCATGGAGCTTCCCATGGTGAAGATGAGGAAGGTGACCATCAAACAGAAGAGCCCCATGACCTCAGATAGGACAAAGCCCAGAATGGCATAGGAGAAGAACTGCTGCTTAAGAGATGGGTTTCTCTCAAAGGATAAGAGATCTTTTTTTTCTTACAGCTGCATAGTACTCCATTGTGTATACATAAATCCCCAGAAGAGGGGGTGGGCGTGGGGGTGGGGGAGATAAATCACAGAACTTATATGCAGGTATGCATGAACAATGGACATGGACAACAAAGCTGGAGACAGGCGGAGAGGAGGGGGAAATCAGTAGGGGAAAAAGGAGAAACATCTGTAACAAAAATAAATAAATTAATTTAAAAAAAAGATAGATGGGTTCCTGGCATAGCCAGTGATCAAACTGCCAAACGCTGTTTCATTTCTGGCCTCTGAACCAGTCCTACCCACTATGGCAGCCCCAACACCAATAAACTTGGCTGCTGTGTCAGTGTCCTAGAAGACAACACTGGTCTGGAACTCCTGTCTGGCCACCTGGAGTGGGCAGCGGCTGTAGGAAGGCCATTCAGATGGGATGTCTGGCCTATTCAGGAAGGAGGCTGATGCAAGCCTGACTAGACCCCAGTACAACAGTGGATCAGAGTTGGAGGAATGAGTAGTGCTCTATAGTCTGCATTTTTTCAATCTCCCAGCTTTAGCTCTAGGCCATACAATTTCTCCTGTTAATCTGTCCTCTGTCAGGTTATTTTGTAGATCCCAGCTGGAGAACCTAAGAGGGTAGAATAACTTTTTCCCTTCCCTACAACCTACTCTCAAAAATTCTAAGCAGAAGTTAAATGCTATAACACCATAACAGATGTTCCAATAATAAAACCCACCAAAAATAGATTTACCCAAGAAAAGCATTAATTTTAGGTAAACCGCATACTTACAACTTCTACTGTTGAGAAGAAATTTTATAAGTCTGTAGCATAATGGAGTAAACTATGCATGCCACTCTTCCTTTCTGCCTTACATTTACTTAGGCACTTTTGGAAATAAACAAAAACAGAGAGTATAACAGCCAGAATCCTAGGCTTGGCATGACCAATGAGGAGGTGAAAGATTTAGTGTGTGTCATTCTGTAGGCCTAACTTGTACAACAGGCACTTTCAGATATTCATTTTACATGAATGCTAAGAGGACAAGAGTGAGAATGTAGTTCAAAAGAGATATAACATATCACTATCATGAGAAAAAAAGAACACACACATCAAGAAAATAAACTCCATTGTGCTTACTGTGCCTCACTGCAGCTAGCACTAGGATCAAAGATAACAACCAATACTGAACTCCAAAGGCATATGAAATAGAATAGAGGCTTCTTTTAACTGTCCCAATAAAATGACAGAAATGAACGAAACACCAAACAATCTTTTCCTGAAAACAATAGACAGAAATGATACTCAACTACTCCAGGAAACAACAACAACAAAAAACATAGTATTCCAGGGGGGTCATTACATTCTGCATCAAAGAACTACTATGCTCCTCATTTTAAAGGCCTTATATACAAACAAAATTGGGAGTTACACAGGGTTTTTTTTGTGGGGAGGCATGGATGAGAGTAGTTAAAAATCTGTAAGCATTGTTGAAATAAACATAACACAAGATGGTACAAATAGTCCCTGTTTTTAATAGAAACCAATGACTGAGAACTTTATGGTGAATTAAACTAATGTAAGCAATCCTTTTCCCTAAAGCAAAGCAGTTAACATTTTCTCCACTACATTAGTCAGTGAAGGTTTTCTAGAGGAAGTAGGCCTTGAAGAATGGGGAAGCTTGAAATAGAAAGAAAGGAGATTGCAGGCATCCAGATAAGGGAAATAGGAATGAAGGCACAGAAGCAGGAATTCAACACTGATTCTGGCTTACCACAGTTAGGCATGGGGTTAGGTTCCAAGGACACAAAGATCTGTGAAGTACAGTTCTTTGCCTTAAATCAGCCCAGAGCCTAGCCAGTGAGACAAATTGCCAAGAAAGACATGGTGATATCAATGTCAAAGTACATATGATTTCGGTTAGAACACAAACGAAGAACAATTTTGCATGCTTGATTCAGGGAAAATAAAAAGAGGTAACATATTTGAACTGAATCTTGAAGGACTCTGAGTTGGGCTTTGCCCTACAAGGAAATGTGACAGGAAGGGCATTCCTAGCAAATCAAACAGCATGGGCATAGACGTGAAAGTGAATGTTTAGGGTACAGATCTACATCTAGGCAAGGCAAATAGGATGCACGGGTACTAGGGAATTAGAACTGAGTTAAAAAGATGAGGCAATATCAGGAAGGACCTTATTTTGTAGGTTATAAGGAACCATCAGAAGATTTTAAAGCACAAAATAGCACTGTTAGATCTGTACCTTGCAAAAAAATTGCTGGTGGCAGTGTAGAGAATTAATGGACTTGGGATCAGAGAAAGAAAAACCAATTAGGAGGGTACAACATATATTTAAATTAGTATCATGAATACGAAGGGCCTAGATGATGTGAATGGCAGTGGGAGATAAGGGGACAGATTCCATGGGCATTTGTAGGTGGAGGTAAAATGGATGGGAATTTTTAACTACTGTGATATGTAGATATATAGAGTGTTTCTGACTGAATTAAAAAGATAACTTATGGATGTTGATGCCATTAAAGAAGATTCAAAAGAGAGAAGAAGGGTTGTATGTAGATAATTAAAATATATTGGTGAATGACCATCAACATCTATTCAGTTACTCAAGCCTGACACCTGGGAATTCATCCCGGGATACTCACTTACTAGTCAGTCAGCAAGTCCTAGAGATCCCACTTCTTTCACATCTCTTGAATTCAGCTCATCTTTATGGTTTCTAGATCCACTGCTATCATAATTTGTCATGAACCAAGTTCCCATTTCTCTCCTGGGTTAACAGCCTCTTAAGTGGTCTCCCTGTCTCTAGACTGCAGCCCCCATCCAATCTAATTAAACATTTTAATTAAACTCCTGATCGAAACCCCTCAAAGCATCTTCTCCCCTAGTAGCTTGCAGGATAATGTTCAAATGTCTTGGTTTAACACAAAAGGTCATTTAAAATCCCAATCCTGCCTACCTCTCCTACAGCTCTCACCATGTACTCTTTGCTTCTGCCACATGAAATTTCTTGTAGTACTTTTAACAAGCCATGCTGTTTCAGCCTCCATGCCTTTGTACTTGCCATCTGCTCTGAAATGCCCCTTCCTTCCTTTTCTCATATAGTTAATACCTAGCTCAAACATCAAAGCCTCCAGGAGCTTGTCCTGACACCCTGATTCACAAGGCTAACTCCTATACTTATGTAGTACCTTCTGTAGCATATTACCACCCAATACTACGACTGTGGATATATCTATTTCACTGGTCAGCAAGGTCCTTGAGGCCACAGGAAATGTCCCATTTGACTTTGCAGAATCTATCAGTGTCTGGCACATAGACCAGGCACTCAGAAAACATTTGTTGAGGGAGTTGTTTTAGACCTATTAATTGATTGAAGAATATGTAGGTGGAGAGATTATATATATATATATATAATATATATATATATATATATATATTTATGGATTATATATATTATGTGTGTGTGTGTGTGTGTGTGTGTGTGTGTGTGTATATATATATATATATATATATATAAAAAATTATGTGAAAAGGGCAGCATGGACAATAAGATCTCATTCTTGTTTAAAAAACATAAAGCTGTTGAAAGGAAATGAGAATTATGGAGCTAAAGCCAGTTCAGGACTAGAGGCAGTGAGTGAATAAGTCAATTGAGAATGGCCAAGGACAGAACCCTGAGAAATAGAAACATTTAAGGGGGTGGAAGAGGAAGAGGCAGCAGGGATATAGGAAGAGAACAAGGGAAACCATAACCATAGAAAGCTGAGAGGAGTATGTTTAAAGTGGGAAAAAATTTATGTCAAATACTATAGAGCAAATGAAACTCCAGGACAATACTGCTGAGCAGGTGGACATGTTAGGTTCTCTTTGTTTATATCATACTTGCCTAGATCAATATACAAGAAGCACATGGGACAGCTTAGAATATTTTATATTCCACTTTTTAGGTTTAAAATTTGTTATATTTAATCTTCCAGCTGAGACCAAATGAAAATCATTTAGATATTTTAAACTACCTAAAACTGTGATAAAGCATTTGTTAAACCAAGAAGATGGAAACATTAAAATATTTCAATATCTGTTTTCTCTCCTTGATTACCTCTTATTCAAGTATCCATTATTATTTTTTTTTAAATATCTAACATGGATTAGAGGGAAAGGGATTTTGTTTTATTTAAGTTTACATTAATATTTTGGTAACTTAAGTAATGTTCATTGTCTGACAACCTTTAAACATCACACTTTCATTTACCAAGTCTAACAGAAGAAATTCTTCTAACACTTCTTAAATTAAGTGCTTTCATACAACTGTAATTTCTGATAAACAATAAGGTACTTATAAAACAAACAAAAAAAGAAAGAAAACAATAAGGTACTTTATGGAAAACAAATCAAATCATAGTATTTAACAATAGTAACTACAAAATAACAAGCATACCCCTGTATCTGTATCAGATTTTGAAGAATTTAGACTTTCCTGAGAAGGTGATGGGGACACACGTCCTGAAAAAACAACATAATGGTAAAAAGGCATGTACATATATACATGCATACAATCAGAAATAATGATACAAAAACACCTAATTAATAGTCATGAAATGTAACATTCTAGAAAAATACATGGGAAGCATTAACTCTTTAGGCACCAAAATATTTGTTTTGATCATTTTTATATAAAATCTTTACAAATGACTTAACCATTTCCCAAATTTAATAAAGTACTACTAAATTCTCATTATACATGATGAATACATTCTTGTTAATCATAACAAGTAGTAAGATGAACAATTAAGGGGCAGAAAGGGTCTAGGATGGGGTCAACACTGAAAATAGTCTTTTTGTTCCAGGCATGACAATAAAAGAAATGTATAGTAAACATTGCTTACTATATTGTCAACTAATTATCATCTTCGATTATGAATTATAACATAATGCAAGAAATACACACAAGGCTCCTAAAGTATGTAGGGCCTCATTTGCCAGTTTAGCAGAGCTTCCTAGATTTCTATATTCCTATAATTGCTGTTTCAACTATACTCCATACTCCTGCCCATGGCCAGCTCTATTCCCCTTTCTCCCATCCCTTAACTTCTCGTTTCCCAGCTTTAATTGATTGCAGGTGGGGGTGGGGTGGGGTAGGGAGGGAGAGGTTTGCGAAGAAAATTTACTGCAGTTAAATAATTACAAGAAAAGAATCCTAAAAACTCAAAGCTCCTATTTACATAAATTCGACATCATTTCCCTGATAACTTACCATGATACATAGATATTTTACATACTTGTAATCACTGTGTACATATGTCATGTTCTAAGGTTTCTATTCCATTTAACCTTTTTTCACATACCCTTTGATGAACAGACGAATCACATTTACTTTCCATGCTATGTTTCCTTAATAATTATTTATTTATTGGATGTATATATTATTCTAATTCTTTTTAGATTAATCAGAATTTCATTTTAACCTAGGAAAGAACTGAAGATTGCCAAGGGAAACCAAATAACTTTGCTCTCATTAGTTGATGAAATTAACTCTGCGCCACACCTGAAAGTCAAAAGCTTTTTGATAGCTTTTTACATTGAGTTTAGATGATTTTTGCTGCTGACTTCTGTTTGACTTTTAGGTTTGTGGCTACTATAGAAAGTAGTGGTTGTTGCAAATGATTGTCAGATAAGAGGACATTTTTATGCCTAAAATGTAAAATTGCTGGTGTCTTTGGATTTTTAAAGCCCACAAACAAGTGAAAAAATACCTTCAGTATTATATTTCATTCGCATATTGTTGAAATAGTCAAAAGCATTTTTTAAGGCCCATATTCTCACTACATTGTCTTGTCCAGCTGAGGCAAGTAACCGGCCACAGTGAGAAAATTTCATGGTCCAAACAGCCCCCTATGAAAACAAAGGAAAGTTTAAAGTTATTTTAAAATTTGAGACATTAAGCCAAAATAAAATAATCATGCCAAACCCTGCCAGTGTGGCTCAGTGTATTGAGCGTCATCCCAGAGACTGAGAGGTCCCGGTTCGATTCCCTGTCAGGGCACATGCCCATGTTGCAGGCTTGATCCCCAGGGCATGCAGGAGGCAGCCAATCGATGTTTTGCTCTCACATCGATGTTTCTACCTCTCTCTTTCTTCCTCTCTAAAAAAATCAATAAAAACATATTTGAAAAAAATCATGCCAAATTATACATACTAAGAAAATGCTCACATTACTAACACCATTTATAGCTAACAGTCCAATGGTGCTGCAATACCACAAAAAGGGACTTTTCAAAGAAAGGCAAGATAACATAGTTGTACTTTGCCATAATATAAACTAACAATTTCAAGAACCCAAACCTTGTTCATATATTAATGGAAATGGGAATTCTGAGGTGGCTGGAAATCTTCAATGTAAAGCACAAATCTTAGTTTGGGATCTCAGTTTCCTAGCTGAACATAAGGGGGAGTAGGATAGGAGGAGGTAGACCCTTCAGCATAGCACCAACAACTCCTGACCAGGGCTGAGGGAAGAGTAAGACCCACCTTAGCAGTGACCCTCATAAAACTGGGCATTTGAAGAAGTGTTGGAATGGTGTGATCTCTTCCTGTTTCTCTCCTAAGAAACAAGGTTTCACAGAATATGGCTAAAATTCCCAGATGAATAGTGAAAACAATGGGGAACACAGAGAGAGAGAGAGAGAGAGAGAGAGAGAGAGAGAGAGAGAGGGAGAGAGAGAGAGAATGTGTGTGTGTATGTTGGGCAAGGATTAAAGAATGTAAACCCTGCCCTCGCCGGTTTGGCTCAGTGGTTAGAGCATTGGCCTGTGGTCCAGAGAGACCTGGGTTCGATTCCCGCTAAGGGCACGTACCTCGGTTGCAGTATGTACCCGGCCCTGGTTGGTCGTGTGGGTGGCAGCCACTCAATGTGTCCCTTTCACGTTGATGTTTCTCTCTCTCTCTCTCCCCCTCCCACTCTACCTGAACAAAAAATAAAAAAATGTCCTCGGGTGAGGATAAAAAAAAAAAAAAAAAGAATGTAAACCCTTAAACTGGAAAGGCCAAATCCTACTACAACAAATACTGTTATAACTACTATTATGACACACATCTATGCAGATCTAAAAGATTATCCAAGTAAGAAGCAACAGTTCATTTATTGGAATAACATTCATTCCCACAAAATTCAAGTATATTAAAAAATTTCTCATTTGGAGCCTACTACAATGGGATTTTACTTAAAACTGTAAATAATAAGAGTCAATACAGTACAAGAAAATTCATCAGATACCTGAAGGAAGTTACTATAATCAACTCAAGCATTTTATATCTAAATTATAAACACCAAAGTTTAAATTCCAACCTGGCTGCCATCTGATATGTTTATGGTTGTTTTCTTCCAGTTAGGCCAACCTTTATATTTACTAAAATCTAAATAGACCTGGAGATTATTAAGCTAAGTGAAATAAACCAGCTGGGGAAAGACAAGTAACATATGACCCCACTTATAGGTGGAACCTAATGAACAAAATGAACTGATGAACAAAACAGAAACAGAAGCATGGATACATGGAAGAAACTGATAGCTGTCTGAGGGGAGGGGGAAAGGGGGACTGGATGAAAGAAGGTGAAGGGATTAGACAAAGAACATATATGCATAACCCATAGGCACAGACAACTGTGTAGTGATAGCCAGAGAGAAGGGGGTGCAAGGTGGGCAAAACTGGTGGGGGTGGGGGTGGAGGAGAGAATGGGGACATCTGTAGTAATGCCAACAATAAAGTGAAAAAAATCTAAATAGATAAATGCGTTCCCTGATCAAGGACCCACAGTATCATTTATCCAATTTTGAGTTTATCACCTCCTTCCCTATATTCCTAGCATTTTGAGGGGTAATATAATCTGTGTACTTTATATTTACTTTTGGTACATTTTAACTCTGATAGAAAACTTGTACTGCTACCTCTCTCTTGTTTTAGCTGTCACTGTACAAAACATGTTGAGATTTTGAAAGAGTTGTATAAATTATTTAAAATATAATGGGTGGCCTGAAATACCAATCAGAAAGACTATATGTATCCATATGTTCATAGCAGCACTATTTACAATAGCTAAGATCTGGAAACAACCCAAGTATCCATCAGTAGATGAGTGGGTAAAAAAGCTGTGGTACATGTACACAATGGAATACTATGCAGTTGTAAGAAAGAAAGATCTCTTATCATTTGAGATGACATGTAGGGACCTGGAGAGTATTATGCTAAGCGAAACAAGCCAAGCAGAGAAAGACAAATATCACATGATATCATTTATTTGTGGAATATAATGAACTAAACAAACTGATGAACAAAATTGACCCAGAGACATAGAGGTATAGACTGACAAACCCCAGAAGAGGGGGGGTTGAGGGGGGAAGAGATAAACCACAGAACTTATATGCATGTATGCGTAAACAGTGGACATAGACATCAAAGCTGGGGAAGGGGTGGGGGAGATGGGGAGGAGGGTGTCAATGGGGGGAAAAGGAGAAACATCTATAACAAAAACAAATTAATAAAAAATAAATAAAAGAGCACAAAATAAAAAATATATATAATGGGGAACACTTGAAACATTTTTCAAAGTTATAGACCAACCCCTAATTTAACTGCTTTAAAGTTTGGTACTTTTACATAGCTTTCTTTTATTTTTTTATCCTCACCCGAGGACATTTTTTCCATTTTTTGTTCAGATAGAGTGGGAGGGGGAGAGAGAGAGAGAGAGAGAGAGAGAGAGAAACATCGACGTGAAAGTGACACGTTGAGTGGTTGCCACCCACACGACCCAACCAGGGCCGGGGACAAACTGCAACCGAGGTACATGCCCTTAGCGGGAACCGAACCCGGGTCTCTCAGGACCGCAGGCCGACGCTCTAACCGCTGAGCCAAACCGGCCAGGGCTACATAGCTTTTTTGATGATATAGGACTAGTGCTTACTTAATTCAATAACTCACTTCTTGAACAACAGTTCAGAGATAGACTCTGCATTACCTATTCACTACATTGTATTAATAGCAATTCACTCTTCTTGAGTAAGGCTAGCAAAATTATATACCTAAGAAGAGATTTGCTTTATAGAATCCAAAGTACTTCTCTTAATGAAAACAGAATCAATACTGAAAAATAAAAAGGTTGCTTACCATATGTTCACCACTAAGATCTTGCACCACTTTGATCTGATCAAAATCATAAGGTCCTTTGAAACCATGTGCTGCTTTGAATTTAACTGGTCTTGTGTATGGCATTCCTTCATCATCACTTGATGAAGGATCATCTTGATCAGTATGAAACACTAAACAGAAAAGCAACAGACACCATCACTAGCTAATATAACTAGATATAATGACAATCACATTTTCATTTTCACTACTTCCCAAGAAAATTCATTAAATGGAGAAGCAAAATTTGTCTATTACTAAATAGCAGATTGACTAAGAGTGTGCATGGAGTCTAGTGCCAGATTGCCTGGGTCCAAATCCATGTCTGTCATTTATTATCTGTGTGACCATAGGCAAGGTACTTGACCTTTCTGTGCTTCAGTATTCTCATATATAAAATGGAGATAATAGTGGTACCTAATGTAAAGGGTTTGGATGAAGATAAAATGAGTTAGTACAGGTGAAAGTGCTTAGAACAGTATCTGGCACATAATAAGTATTAGATACGAGTTTATTAAATAATACAAATGAGTACAATTACAACAAGGGCAAAGGAAGTTAAGATCTGTGCAAAATTAGAAAATTTATGTAATTTTGAAAATATTTATAGAAACTAAGTAGCCTTACATAACTAGTTTACAACATTCAACTCTTCTACGTTGCCACAGTCACAAAATATGGACAAATTCATGTTTAAGATGCATAAATTCATTTTTCTTCCTACTTAGAAAATTGAGTGATAGTGAGAATAACATGATTTATTGAAATGATAAGATATTAGCTATACAGGTTTATTGCTTTTGATAACATAGAATGCTTCTTATAAACTATGGGCTAAATTTAGATAATGACAAATAAAATACTTGGTTGAAATGTTCTATTTCACTTACCTTCATCTCTAACACTTTTAACTTTATTTACAGCACGTTCACCATATTCCTCAGCAAGGTGCTTTGCTCTCTTTACGGATTTTCCTAGGAACTTCTTTAGTTGAGTCCTTACCAGGAAAAAAAATTTCTTCTTAATTCAATTAACTATAAAAGTTCAGCAATTTGCTGATAATCTCATTAGCTGTGACTGGTAAAGCATATTATTTTGAAGAAACTCTTTTAAAATACAAATATGTTTTTACTGATTTGAGAGAGAGAGGGAGGAAGAGGAAGAGAGCGAGAGAGAGAGAGAGGGAGGAAGAGAGAGAGAGAGAAACATTGATGTGTGAGAGAAACATCCATTGGTTGTCTCCCATATGCACCTGGACCAGGGATCAAACTCAAAACCTGGGTATGTGACCTGACTCAGAATGAAACTGGAGAACTTTTGGTGCACGGGACGATGCACACACCAGCCAGGGCTGAAGGAACTCTTTTCTTCTTTTTACATAAAGAGTAGGTCTTTGAGTTCCTAAATCCCCTGCTGTATAAAATACAGGGTGGGGCAAAAGCAGCCATATTCAAGTCAGGAAGGCTACAAAGGAAATACGCATACTTCCCCCAATATACAGTATTGTATACTCTAGGGCACTGGTTCTCAACCTGTGGGTTGCAACCCTTTTGGGGGTCACACGACCCTTTCACAGGGGTCACCTAAAACATAACAGTAGCAAAATTACCGTTATGAAGTAGCAACAAAAATAATTTTATGGTTGGGGATCACCGCAACATAAGGAACTGTATTAAGGGATTACGGCATTAGGAAGGTTGAAAACCACTGCTCTAGAGCATTGGTTTTCAATGATGAATGATAATCAGTTGGCAAAAAGAAATTGGGAGGGGGGTGTTTAAAGCACAGATAGATACCTGGTTCCCATCCCCAGGTGATTTGATTTGGAGGGGTATGGGGTGAGGCCATGAATCTGCAGTGAGAATTGCTTTGAGAAGACTGCTTTAGAGAGTCATCCTTAAAAACACTTTACCAAAAAAAGAAACTAAAGATGTATTTATTTACAAAATAGAATGCTTTGGTAACTTAAGATAGCCTCATGTCCCTTCTCTTTCAGTTTGGGTATTTGCATGCAATACCGTTAGACAGAGCTTTCCCAGTAGGTATTCCCAAACTGTAATTTAAGTATGAATTTCAAGCTTCCATAAATAGGACTTTCCTTATTGTTTTTTTATCTTCCTCACCCAAGGATACTGTACTTTTTCTGTTTATCATCAGATAGAGTGGGAAGGAGGGAGAGAGAAAGAAACAGAGAAAAACATCGACGTGAGAGAGCCACATTGACTCGATGCCTCCCACATGACCGGACCAGGGTCAGGGACGAACTGCAAACAAGGTACGTGCCCTTGACCAGAATTGAACCCGCGACTCATTGGTCTGCAGGCTAATGTTCTACTGCTGAGCCAAACTAGCCAGGACTTTCCTTATTGTTTTTGTAAATTATCTATGTCCCAAATGTCATATATTAAGATTATTTTTAAAAAATCGATAAAGCAAAGGACATATTTACAACAAAAACACAATTTATAAATCAGGGGTAAATTTTACCAATTCATGGTAGCTCATGATATTAAGGATAGAATTTTAAAAAGTTGCTAAGCTATATATACAAAGATGTTCACTGCAGCATCGTTTAGCATAGCTAAAAAAAAATAGAGATAAACTGAATTTTCAACAAAGGAATGAATAAATAAGTGACCGTATAGTCTTACAACAGAATGCAATAAAATAAAGGAGGAAAACCTCAGTTCTTTAAATGCACCAAGCTCTTAGTCACCTCAGGGCCTTTGCATGTGTGGTTATTTCTGCCTGGAACACTCCACCCCTAGCTAATTTCTACTCCTCTTTAGGTCTCAGACCAAACAGCTCTCTCTCAAAAAAAGGCCTCCTTAACGCTTCAGAACAGGTTTTCCTGTTATATTATCCCACAGGACCCCATACATTTTCTTTATAGCAATTAATACAACTGTAGTTAGATTTATCTGTGTAATTACATCTTCATTGTCTGTTTCTCCTATTGAATTGGAAGCTATGTAAGAACAGAGACTATGATTATCTTCTTACGTATTGTATCTGTAGCACCAAACCCCCATATCTGGCTAATAGAAAGATTACAATATATTTACTATTAGTATTTAAATGAAAAAAAAAATGTCCATTATATACTAAACTTGTTCTTTTACAAAATCAAGTTGAGGATTCCAAAATAGCTGCGGAGTGACTAGAAGCTACACAGACAGTCTCCCAGGACCAAACTGGAATCACAACTAAAATAAAGACAAATTGTCAGGAAAAAGCAACAGAAAAGCAGCTTGCGAGGACCATATAACCAGGGACACGGACTCAATCCTGGTAGGATTGCAGGGTCACGAGAGAGGGGCTAGGAGCCCATGGACAGCAGTGGTCTTAGCTGTGAGCAGCGCCCTTGGGGTTAAAATCCCAAGCCTGCTCCACAGCCCAGAGGGCCAGGACAGACCACTGAATTGGCTACAGCCACTCACCTTGGGCTCTGGCAGAGAGAGGGCAGACTGGAATGGAACTGTGTGGGGACACTCAGGATTTGGAGGGCACTCAGAGTTTTTGCTGAGTTGTGGCCACACAGGATGGTGGCTACCTTACTCCTACCCAGGGCTCTAGGGAGAGGCCACCGCCCCCACCCAGGTAAGCCACTGAACTGCAAATTGATGCTCATTAACAAACAGCATCTGCCCCATGCTTGGGAAATTCCCTTAAGTTTAACACCTGAGGGAGTTTTTCATTCAACTGAGAACCCAAGGATCTTCAAGTAACCATGACTAATAGCCTCCAGGCAAAAAGCTAGAGGATAACCGAACCATTCCTGATCTGGCAAATCTACCCAGGAAAATAAGACTTGACAGTGGTGCTTAACATGGGTCCTCCCACGCTTATCCGAACCCAGTAGAAGGAGCCACAAACAGCAGAACACCAACACCCACAGGGAAATTTGGCAGGCTCCAAAACCTACTGAGATAGCCAAAATAGAGAAAAAAAGACACAAATTTCAAATGAAAGAACAAGAGAACTCTACTGAAGATGAGATCAATGATATGCAGTTAAACAAGTTATCAGAGGTACAGTTCAGAGCCATGATCTTGAGGAAGGTCAAAAGTATGAGTACGGACATCAACAACATGAGTAAAGACATAAAAACATTGAAAATCAACCAAATGCAAATGAAAAACCACCAACAAGAAATAAAGAATGACATAGGAGAAATAAAGAACACATTGGAAGGACTAAACAGCAGAGTAGAGGAAGCTGAGGACTGGATTAGTGAATTAGAAGACAGGGTAGAAAAAAAGCAACCAATCAGAAAACCAAAAGGAAAAAAAAACAAATCAAAAAACAGGAAGACAGCTTAAGAGATCTGTGGGACAACTGGAAACATAATAATATTTGCATCATAGGAGTTCTTGAAGAAGAAAATGAGCAAGGGTAAGAGAATATATTTGAAGAAATAGTGACAGAAAACTTTCCTAACTTGGTGAAGGAAGAAGGCAATCGAATTCAAGAAGCACAGAGAGCCCCAAGTAAGACCCCAAACAGGCCCACAGCAAGGCACATAGTAATTACAATGCCAAAAATTAAAGACAAAGAGAGAATCCAAAAGGCAGCAAGAGATAAGCAACAGGTTACCTACAAAGGAACCCTCATAAGGCTATCAGGTGACTTCTCAACAGACACATGAAAAGACATTTGAACACATGGAGACTGAATAGCATGTTATTAAACAATAAGTGGGTTACCGAGGAGATCAACGAAGAGATTAAAAACGTCCTGGAAACCAATGAAAATGAACATACAACAAAACAAAATATAAGGGATGCAGTGAAAGCAATTCTGAGAGGGAAGTTCACAGCACTACAGGCCTACATCAAGAAACAAGAAAAATTTCTAATACACTATCTAACCTCACAACTTAAAGAACTAGAAAGCAAACAAAAAGAAAAACCCAGAGCAAGTAGAAGGAATGAAATAGTAGAGATCAGAGCAGAAATAAATGACATAGAGACCAAAACAACAATTCAAAGGACCAATGAAGCAAAGAGCTGTTTTTTTGAAAAGATAAACAAGATTGATGGACCCGTTCCTAGACTCACCAAAAAACACAGAGAGAGAACCCAAATACACAAAATTAGAAATGAAAGAGGAGAAGTAACAACTGACACTACAGAAATACAAAGGATCGTTAACAAATACTATGAACAATTATATGGCAACAAATTCTACAATCTAAGCAAAATGGACAAATTTCTAGAAACACACATTCTCTAAAAACTGGACTGGGAAAAACGTGAACAGACCAATAACAACTAAGGAAACTGAAAGGTAATCAAGACTCTCCCAGCAAACAAAAGCCCAGGCACGGAGCTTCATGGGGGAATTATACCAAACATTCAAAGAAGAACTAATACCCATTCTCCTCAAATTATTTCAGGAAATTCGAGAAGAAAGACTTCCAAACTTGTTTTATTAGGAAAGCATAATTCTAATTCAAAACCAGAAAAAGACACTACAAAAGAAAGAAATCTCTCGGCCAATATTCTGAAGAACATAGATGCAAAAATCCTGAACAAAATACTAGCAAATTGGAACTAGCAATACATCAAAAAAATTATTCACCATGACCAAGTGGGATTCACCCTAGGGATGCAAGACTGGTACAACATTCGCAAATCAATAAATGTGATACACCACATAAACAAAATGAAGGATAAAAACCACATGATCATATCAATAGATGCTGAAAAAGCATTTGAAAAAATCCAGCACCCATTTCTGATAAAAATACTCAGCAATCTGGGAATAGAGGGATCATATCTTGACATAATAAAGAATAATAAAGACCATATATGAAAGACCTACAGCCAACATCCTACCTAATGGGCAAAAACTAAAATGCCCACTTTCACAACTCTTATTTAACTTAGTAGTGGAAGTCTTAGGCACAGCAATCAATGTGAAAAAAAAATAAAAGGAATCCAAATTGGAAAAGAGAAAATGAAACTGTCATTATTCGCAGATGACGTGATATTA